AATATATATATATATATATGTATATGTATATTATACATATTATACATATATATGTATATATATGTATGGATATATATATATATATATATATATATATATAATACATTTTAGATGGTAATAATAATAATAAAAGTGAAATATATTACCAATAAATTAACAATAACAAATATAAGAAATTAATATTGATTTGACATGTTAACAGCATATGTGTTTGGGACAACAGGAGACTGAGTAATAAAATAATAATTAGCCATTTTTAAATGAAGTATGGATGGCTCCCTATCCTTGTTTTCCTGTTGCTGTGTAATAAACTCACCCGTACTGTGCTGTTGTCAAACATCTCCATGGTCATCTCTTCCTCCTCTTCAGTGTCTGCGGGCACCATTGGCTCTCTGGTTTCACTTCCGTCCTCTGGTTCTTTCACGAGGCCCTGGATTCCCTCCGTCTCCGAGAACTGCAGAAAGATGGGTGCACGGCTGGAGTTGCGCTGGATCTCCACACGCAGGATGCCGTCGCGGGGCCATTTCTCCCGCACGTGCTCCAGGCAGTTGATTGGAGAGCGTGAGAAGGCAATGTGGATGTAGGCCAGGATGAAGAGCATAAACAACGCCTGCCAATCAAATGGCATGAAATTAAAGTGAATTAAAAAGGTGTACAAAAACTACAGAATAGGCAACAATTAGGCATTAAACATTGCACTCCCATAACAATAATGGCATGAAAATCCCTCCTTTTATATTCATAAGTCAAAATTCTGAAACTTGCACTTAAGTTGATATCATCTGAATCATTACAGACTTTTCTCATGCTAACATTATTTATTTATTTTTTTTGCTAAACGAATAGGACAAAATTCAGTTAATTTGTTTAAAAAAAAACTGAAAATATTAATAGTAATATAAATTAATTTTAATTTTGAGTATATATTGCAGACATGGATACATATTTTTAGTTATGATTTTTAATATGCCACAAATGTTTACATTTTCATCAAAAACTAATGGATTTTTTTGTATAATGAAATAATACACGTATAAACAACCCTGTATCAACAAGTGTTATTATAGTTAACTAAAACATTAAACAAAATACAAAAGGTAACTGAAATAAAACAAAACATGTATAAAAATATTGCAGTTAGTTGCCAAGGCAACATTTCTCATTTTCATTTAGTTTAACTTGCCGTACTAAAATAAATAAAACTAAATCTGAAATAAAAAATTTAAACGGAACATATTAAATAAAAACTGATCCAAAATATTAATGAAAATTACAATAGTATCTCAATGATACTAAAATAACACTGGTTAGATAGCGTCACATTTTCAACTTCAACAGCCAATAAATAAATATTAAAAATAAATCCTATAACGTATGTAAAAGCTTCATAATTTGTATAACATGTTGCAGCAGTAATAACCCATTTTAGTTCAGTAAAATGAAACTGGACACTCTACTTATTTTGACTTGAGCAAAAGTTGCAAATAGGAACTAGCTGGCAGGTAAGACCTAAAGCCATGGGTTAGTTGGCATATAAATGATGCTGATAACCAGCATCCATCTGATGTTTAGTGAGCATGGCATTCTGCACGCTAACAGGTGAGGGCAGATAAGCATTCAAAACTCAGCGTGTGTAGGGCTTCTGGGAAGGATTACTACAGTTTAAATATACAATATACATTTTTTAAAAAAAAGGTCAAAGTTCACCTTTAACAAGACGAGGAACTCGAATATTCGTCTGAAGGACGGTGGGAAGAGTCTGGCGTATGTGACTGCCATCTTAAAGAACAAGGCGTGGAAGAGTCTGTCTCGCACGTTGATCAGTGGGTTCTGGTTCATCGCGGGGTTCCGGATCCGGTTCAGCCCACCGTTATTGTTGTTGTTCAGAGGGACGTTGTTGTTCACATTGCCTTGGTTGTCAGACATGGTGGTCGTTGTTCAGTAACTTGATAAGGAGAAAGACCAGCTGAGCTCAAGCAGACAGCAATGTGCGCAGATCCAGATGAGCAGGCCAGTCACACAACATCAGCACACGCACACGATGATGATCCTGCTTCTCCAAAACTGGACTGAGCTTCAGATATCTCCACAAAACCGACTCGACAGATGCTGAATTTTGTAAGGATGTTGGTGGGCAAGGCTTCTTTCCACTCCTACCATGTCTCAACCTAGCGAGCTAGCAAACTTCTAAAGCTTTAGAGCACTGGACACAACTGCTAATCGTGTAGTTTATATACTGTAAGACGAGAGGAGCATCTCAGGCTGTTAAAATGTGTTTTAGAATAAATATGTCCGGCAGATGTGACTCAGGCCTCCTGCATCCACTGTCACTCCCACCAAACTAGCTAAACTTGTTAACTCACGCATTTATTGCTACAAACACCAGCTAAATGCGTAATATTCACTCGGGTTTGGAAATAGAATATCGCTCAGACGTTGTAAACTGAGTGCTTAAAAAGAAAGAAACCTGGAATATCACGCAGCACGTCTGCTAACAAGTTAGCCGAGTTTCCCCTGAGGAACCCGTATGTTCGGGTTACGTTTAAACAAACACCTCCTCCTATAACGCTGACAATGTTCGATTAAATAAGGCCTCAGATACTTGATGATATCCCGCCAGAACCATCCGGGTGGCAGCGACTGCAACCTGTCTTACAGACCATCTGTTTACACAACCATTTTCTGGAGCGGAGCGGACTTGGGAGTAGCAGCAAAGAAGCTTTTAATGAGGGAAGCGTTTCCACTCTGGTCCCGCTCCCACGGTTAGTCACGTGACATCGAGTCGCTTCGTTTTTGACCAAGCAAAAAATCGAAATGGTTCCACCCCATTTGATATGTACTGTAGCCTACGATGAACTTTAATAATTTGTAAATTTTTCCGTAATTTTATTGAATCACTGTAATATATTTAATTTAATTCCAGTACTAAGAAATAGCTCATTGTTTATAAGTACCAAATGTTTACTCTAGTTTGAGAGGAAATAAGTAATTGTTAAATAGGTCGTCACGTTATTGAAGAGTGGAAGGTCTAGCCAGTACAGCGGCTAAGGCACATGTCACTCGGTGGAAGTACCATTTCTAACATTAAACCTGTAGAGCGCCCGTTTGTGGTGGGATGACCACAGAACACAGGTCAGAAGATGCATAATAAAGACACATAAAAGTACGAAAGAATGACATAAATAAAAGCTTAATTTAAATATAAAACGAATAAATGGAAATTAACAAAACATTTAAACTGAAATAAAGCAGTGCAGACAATGGCACATTTGACAATAAGGAAAATATATTTATTATTATTTATTATTTGTCTTGGAGACAGGAGCTTCCAGTGCAGAAAAAGTACAGACATAGTACAATCAAATACAGTAATGAAAATATAGAAAATACACAATAGACAGATTTACAAATGTACAGATATGCTCTACAGATGTACAGTTAGGCTATGAAACATCCTGATGGCCATTTTAACTGTTCAGGTGAAATATAGGCTGCAATCTTTATGACAAAACTAAGAGCAGTGCTGGTCGTAACTGATTACATGTAATCTGGATTATGTAATCGGATTCCAAAAATGTAGTACTTGTAATTAGAGTATATTATATTTTCAAATGCTCATAATAAGATTACAGTTACATTTAATGGATTACATGATTACATATTATTCACACAACAGCAGTAAATTATTCATAACTTCTTGATTATCTCTAATTCTTCTTTTTATTCTTCTTTTAAATTCTCCTTTATAAAAATCCTGTATCATACCATTTAGCTTTGACTATATTCAGAAATGCTATGTAAATGAATTTGCAACCGTGCTTCTAAATTTGAGAGGAAAGCATCTCTCAAGCAATTAGACCATGTATGAAACAAATAATCATGCAAGTTAATAAATACTGTATGCATGTAGTTTTATAACTGTTATTCCCATAATCAATGTAGTACGTTTAATAGTACGTTTGAAACAAGTTAGATAAAAAGTAGTCAGAATACATGACCTAAAATAGTAACCTAGATTATGTTACTAAAAACAGTTTTCATCATGCAACCTGTAATCAGTAACAGACTACAATTTGTAAGTAATCTGCACAGCACTAAGAGGTCTGAGTCTGTTACGTTTACATTCTTCAAGAATATATATATATATATATATATATATATATAGGCTATTACTGTGTATATTTATTATGTATATATAAATACACACTCATACAGTATATATTTTGAAAATATTTACATGTATTTATATATATATATTCGTCCTCCAGTCCAATAGGGGGCGGCAAGTCGTAGTCGAGTCTCTAAACGCGGAAAGAAGCGACGAACATAGACGCTGAGTGATGTGCCGCTTCAAAGTGCAGCTAATAATATTGAAAATAAAATAAATGTCGAAATGCCAGGGCAATTTTACCTTAACACATTTCTTTCTTTTCTACCTTAAAAGCAGGCGCGTGTATTTTTTATAACTGTTATTCCCACCAGTTTACTCTGTTCTTGTCCAGTATCAGGCATGCTAAGCGTTTGCGTTGACTAAGCACAGTGATCGTCTTCACACTTAAGGTCTCGAGTAAAGGTACCAGTGCTCATAACCTTCAGTTTAATTCACTGTATGATGGAGATCGCGTATGTTTGCGAGTGGGAGAAGAGACCCAAGAGCAACCACTGCCCGTCAATCCCTCTGGTGTGCGCCTGGTCCTGTAGAAACCTCATCGCCTTCACCACTGACCTGAAGAATGAGGAGGAGGACAAAGGTCTGGACAATGCCTTTATTACCAATATTACCAGACCTGTTGGTGAGTTATAAATGAATGATGAGGAAAAGCATACACTTTTAATTGGTTCTGAATTAGAGATTGGCTACGTAGATCATCACTGTTTTTATGATCAGATACTTTATCCACAACAGTAATAACGGGATAGTTCATTTATGAAGTGATGGCTTTTCTGCTGCAGATCTCAGTCATATGATACACATCATTGACACTGATCACCCCTGGGATGTGAACTCCATCAACTCTGGTCACACTGAGGTCATTTCCTGCCTGGAATGGGATCAGTCAGGTCAGTCATCATGATTAATATATGAACCATGAAATGATTGAAACCTCTGGAACATGTCAAGGTCCTGTTTCACTCCAAAAATGAAAATAGAGAATTGTATTTTGCATAAAGAAACATTATGCCTGCGACATCGTTTCCGAAATAAGCACATTTAAATCACAAATTCCTGTTACCGTCATGTATCTGTACATTTTTCTCCTGCTTCAATTCTTGGTATTCTAAATGGATATGGTCATTATTGTAATACAGTAATTTTAGTGTATTACTGCAATGTAATGATTTGATGTAGATTGCAATTTATTTTATTTTATATTTTATTTTAGCTATATTTCAGTAGTTTTAATTTTTGATAACAATAATAACCCTGATTTGCAGTATTTTGCTTCCATATTTTATGCACTCTAAATAAAATCATTACATTGCAACTGCAGTGTAATGATTTTATTTAGATTTCATAAATTAGATACAGAACAATAGATGCTACTGTATTGTATAAATAATACACAATTTAAGTAAAGTTCTTTTGGAGATTATTTATTTTTAATGTATTTTAATATAAATATTTCCTTAGTTTTCATTAGAGGGATGAGAGAAATGTAAGAGGAAATGTACAATGTGGAACCAAAATACTGCAAATCGGGGTTATTATTGTTATCTAAAATGCAAACTACTGAAATTTGGCTAAAATGAAATATAAATATTAGATGAAAAACTCAAACTAAATAAAAATGAGAAATATTGCCTTGGCAATTAACTGAAATCTGAACTAAAATAATATAATATAACAAAATCTGAAATGAGAATTACAAACCTAAAAATTAAACCTAAAAAAAATCTAAAAATAACAACACACCTAACAAAATTACAAAAAAATAAATAAAATCAAAATGAAAATATAAAAATAAAAGCTAATACAAGATATTAATAACGAATGGTAATAGTGTATGAATAATACTGAAAACAATTAATTAATAATTAAATGTACCATTTTATTTAGAAATAATTAAATACATAAATTTGTTATCATAAGTATCACAATACAAAAAAATCCTAAAAACTTGATTTTCTTTATGCAAAATATTTTTGTACTTTTAGATTTGGTGTTAAATGTGGCCCAGACATGTTCTTGAATGCTTTCTTGAGATTGACTCAAACAGATCTGAAGTGATCTCGGTGTTATCATCGTGTGGTTGTGTGTGTTGCGCTACGCCAGGTTCGAGGCTGTTGTCTGCTGATGGAGATGGTCAGATCAAGTGTTGGGGAATGTCAGAGCACCTGGTGAACAGCTGGGAGTGCACACAAAGCAGCTCAGTGGACGGAGACCCGATCGTAGCCCTCTCATGGTTACACAATGGAGTTAAACTCGCCCTGCATGTTGAAAAGGCAAGGACATCTCCTTAGCACCTACTAAATAAACATGCAAACATAATTAACTAACACCCTGATGTCTTTGTTTTTCCTCAGTCTGGCTCTACGAACTTTGGAGAGAAGTTTTCCCGGGTGAAGTTCTCTCCCTCTCTCACGTTGTTTGGCGGGAAGCCCATGGAGGGCTGGTTAGCAGTGACGGTGAGTGGTCTGGTGACCGTGTCACTGTTAAAGCCGAACGGGACTCTGCTGACGGCCAGCGAGAGCCTGTGCAGGCTGAGGGGCCGCGTGGCGGTGGCTGACATCGCCTTCACGGGCGGCGGGAATATAGTGGTGGCGGCCACCGATGGCAGCAGCTCTTCTCCGGTGCAGTTCTATAAAGTGTGCGTGAGCGTGGTGAATGAGAAGTGCCGCATCGACACCGAGCTCTTGCCCTCACTATTCATGCGCTGCACCACCGACCCCGTCCGGAGAGACAAATACCCCGCTGTCACTCACCTTAAATTCCTCACACGCGAAAACTCCGAACAGGTGAGATGATGAACATTCAAAAAAGACATTATAATATTGTGATGCATAAAACCACTTTAGTATTTATTAGTTTTTCATTTTTTTAAATGTTTTACATAAGAAAAGAAATTGTCATTTTTAGACAAAATAGTATAGATTTGTGTAAAATATTATATATACTGTATTATTGTTCATAAATTTGGGGTCATTAAGAAAAAGCTGCATTTATTTGATAAAAATTGCCTATTTATATTTTAATATATTTTAAAATGTAATTTATTCCTGTGATGCAAAAAGCTGAATTTTCAGAATCATTACTCCAGTCTTCTGTGTCACATGATCCTTCAGAAATCATTCTGATATGCTGATTTGCTGCTCAAGAAACATTTTTATTATCACAGCAGAAAACAGTTTTTGTGGAAACCGAGATTTTTTTTTCAGGATTATTTGATGAACAGAAAGTTCAAAAGAATAGCATTTATGTGAAATATAATTTTTTGTCTTCACTGTCACTTTTAATCAATTGAATGCATCCTTGCTGAATAAAAGTATTAATTTCTTTGAAAGAAAAGTCTTACTGACCCCAAACGTTTGAACAGTAGTTTATATAATGTTATGTTATAATCTAGTATAGATATAGAATAATTTTTGGCTATCAGTGTCGGTCAGAAATTGGATGTTAACTCCACAATTTCCATGCTACAAGCTGTTTTCCAGTTCTTTTATCTGAACATGATTTTTTTGGGATTGCTGTGTTTCTGAAGGTGCTGCTCTGTGCGTCCAGTCAGATGGGCAGCATTGTAGAGTGCTGGTC